CTGGCAAAGGAATGTCTCTGTTTTTTAATATACTGTCTAGGTTGGTCATAGCTTTTCTTCCAAGGAGCAAGCATCTTTTAACTTCATGGTTGCAGTCACCATCTGCAGTGATTTTAGAGCCCAAGAAAATAAAGTCTGTCACTGTTTCGATTGTTTCCCCACCTATTTGCCATAAAGTGATGGCACTGGATGCTATGATCTTTGTTTTCTGAATGTTGAGTTCTAGGCCAACTTTTTCACTTTCCTCTTTCACTTTCAACAAGAGTCCCTTTAGTTCCTCTTCGTTTTCTGCCATAAGTGTTGTGTCATTTGCATATCTGAGGTTATTGATATTTCTCCTGGCAATCTTGAGTCCAGCTTGTGCTTCTTCCAGCCCAGCGTTTCTCATGATGTATTCTGCATATAAGTTAAATAAGCAGGGTGACAATATACAGCCTTGACATACTCCTTTCCCAATCGGGAACCAGTTTGTTGTTTCATGTCCGGTTCTAACTGTTGCTTCTTGACCTGCATACAGATTTCTCAGGAGGCAGGTAAGGAGGTCTGGTGTTCCCATCTCTTGAAGAATTTTCCACACAGTTTGCTGTGATCCACACAGTCAAAGGCTTTGGCATAGTCAATAAAGCAGAGGTAGATAAAAAAGAGGCAGTCAAAAAAGCAACTCTCTTGCTTTTTCTATGATCCAACAGATGATGGCAATTTGGTCTCTGGTTCCTCTGCCTTTTCTATATCCAGCTTGAACAACTGGAAGTTCTCGGTTCATGTACTATTGAAGCCTAGCTTGGAGAATTTTGAACATTACTTTGCTAGTGTGTGAGATGAGTACAATTGTGTGGTAGTTTGAACACTCCTTGGCATTGCCTTTTTTTGGGACTGGAATGAAAACTGACCTTTTCCAGTCCTGTGGCTACTGCTGAGTTTTCTAAATTTGCTGGCATATTGAGTGCAGCACTTTCACAGCATCATCTTTTAGGATTTGAAATAGCGTCTAGTCAAGGCTATGGTTTTTCCAGTGGTCATGTATGGATGTGAAGTTGGACTATAAAGAAAGCTGAGGGCAGAAGAATTGATGCTTTTGAACTATGGTGTTGGAGAAGACTCTTGAGAGTCCCTTGGACTGCAAGGAGATCCAACCAGTCCATCCTAAAGGAGATCAGTTCTGGGTGTTCATTGGAAGGACTGATGTTGAAGCTGAAACTCCAATCCTTTGGCCACCTGATGCAAAGAGCTGACACATTTGAAAAGACCCTGATGCTGGGGAAGACTGAGGGCAGGAGGAGAAGGGGATGACAGCAGATGAGATGGTTGGATGGCATCACCGACTCAATGGACATGGGTTTGGGTGGACTCTGGGAGTTGGTGATGGACAGGGAGGCCTGGCATGCTGCGGTTCATGGGGTCGCAAAGAGTCGGACACGACTGAGTGACTGAACTGAACTGAATTGAAAATTCCATCACCTCCACTAGCTTTGTTTGTAGTGATGCTTCTGAAGGCCTAAGTATCACCCCAGTTAAACATTTTTCAGTGAGTCTCTACCATCTACATCCCCTATGACCTACAAGGGGCATTCAAACTGCTTAGCATAGAATACAAATGCCTTCATGACCTGATGTTAAGTGCCTCTCCAGCTATATCCCACCTCCTCACTTTTGTACTTTATATTCCCATAGTACTTAACTGGAAGGCAGTGTAGGTATGTTACATACATCATGTCATTCATTTCTCAAAACAATAACTCTCAGTTACTATTTTACCTGACAGGGAATAACAATGTGTATCCACTACCAGTCTTTTGACTATTATCTTAGTCTCAAGTCTCCATCCATACCCTACTTTGGATCAAGGAGATTCTCATCATCTACATCTGACACTAATGGTCTTGTTAAAGTTAAAAAAAAAAAAGAAAGAAACCAGCAGAGACACTGATTTCAATGGATGAAGCAAAGTATTTCTATCACCATCTGTTGAGATAATCGGTATAAAGCTTTTCATAATAATGCCATCAGTAACTTCCATCATTAAAATTTATTCCCCCAAATGCTCTACAACAATATTTTACACTATAAAATACTTTTTAACAAGATTACCTGGCAATAAGCATAATTTCCAAGGGCTTTATGAGCTTCATCGATAACTAGACACTTTATTTCAGCAGCTGGGCAAGCTCCTCTAGAAAGATCATTTACCATGACTTGAGGCGTCAGAAAAAGAACCCTCTTACTGCCCCAGATTTCCTTCCTGGTGAAAGCTTGAGTAGATCCTGTAAAAAAAAAAAAAAAAAAAAAAAGTGACATCACACATTCTAAACTTCAGACTGTTACCTGTAAAATATAAAGAGCTTGGTCTATTTTCAGCATGCATTCCTGTATTGGTGATCTGCTTCAATGTGCTAATTTGACAAATAGGAGAAAGCAACATTTTAAAGCTTTGTTGTGGTCCAGATGTCAACGCCAGCTTTTACCAAAAATCACAACTAGACTACCTTTAGAGAATCCTTGTAAAATGACATAATACTTGAAGAGAAGAAAATTCTTCACCTGGGAAATCCTTCTGAGCAAGAAAGGCAGAAAACCTCACTTTCACTTACCAATGGGGTATACACACATAACCACTTCAAAATGCTTTGACAAGCTACAGAAATTCTCTGAAGATTGAATAAAGCAACCCTATTAGAGCTGGACTTGCTACAAGGAGATGATGTTTCAAGAAAGAAGAGGTAAAATAAGCATACTGTGATCTGGGGTCTATTCCACATGGGTCCAGAATTCCTTTAGCGCTAGTTCCATCAGAATACGAGCTTTCCCCTGGGTGCCCAGCTCTTAATTTCAAGTTAGTCCACTGTTTCTAAGATACCTGTCATTTCGGCCATGTGGGACTGCGGGATACCCATCACCCGGTAGCAAGCCTCGATCTGCTGTGTCACCAGGGGTTTCGTGGGGGCCATGAAAACCACCTTGCCAGAAGGGAACCAGCGGTAGAAATTGTACATGACCACAGCGGCAATAAAGGTCTTTCCCAACCCGGTGGGCAGACAGACCAGCGTGTTGCAGAAGAGGGCGGTCCTGGCGATGTGCAGCTGGTAGTCTCGCACTGGGCAATTAGTAGGGTAAATCCACAGGGCGCCCGCTGAGGTGCAGAACCCGCCATTCTCTAGACTCAGCTGCCTCTCTGCTTCGTACACCGCGACCAGCAACACATCATCGTCTGATTCGGGCTCAACCTCGGCCGCCTCTGCCACTGCAGGAAAACGCGCCCTGGAGATGCCTGTGCTCTGAGGCCGCTCAGTTCCAGAGTTGCAACTCGGAGCCCCAGTGGACCGAGAAACTTTTGAACCCCACGTCTGGAAAAGCGTTTTTTGCCGTCCGCTCATTAGGCCGACGACCACCGAAGGCTACCCTCATACGCCAGCAACTGCTGCAGCTCAATAGCCTCCGTTCCAATCCCCATCGGTTACCTTCGCGTAAAAAACACAGAGGAACCAGTGGGCGGGACTGAGGCCAGTTTATCCTGTTGAAAGTGCAGCCACTGAGTTTGCGTGGGGAAGATGATTGGCGGTCCTCCCGGAAACCCCGCGGTCCTCTAGGAGACGCATGCGCATTACCGTGGAGTTACTCTAAATTTTGTCCCCTTGTCAATTTTTTTTTACCGACTCTAAGTTTGGGTTCCATTTCCAATAAGTGATTATATGTCCTGGCGTCATGGGTAAAGTGATACTGCTTAAAATGATACAGTAAATAAGGGAGATGGTGATGGACAGGGAAGCCTGGCTTGCTGCAGTGCATGGTGTCGCAAAGAGTCGGACACGACTCAGCGAGAGAACTGAACTGAACTGAACTGAAATAACCTTGAGGTCCCGAAACAATGCATACCTCCCCCCCCCCCCCTTTTTAACCTAACGTTACTGAGCGTCTAACGTGCCTTATTCCTTGTTGTTGGCTGTTTTTAAATCGGTAGATGAGGTGAAAACAAACGTGTTTAGACAAAATTAAATAACACCTCATTTCTTTATCCAGACTGAGAAAACAAAATGCCAGCTTTTTCAGGAGTAGCAACCTCTTATCTTAATATTTTTATTGTTTAAAGGGAAGTGAATTGTTTGGTCGTGATATTCGTCGGAAAATTCCAAAGGAAAAAAAGTGTCCTGATGCTCCATCATTACATCTTCATAAACGATATACAGCAGTAAATTCAGCGTCTGGGTGATATTTTTCTCCTCTAGAGATAGCATTCTACCTCCAAACTTGGATACAATTCCGGATTTCTCCTCTCTAAACCTGGCGACTTTGAGTAACCTCTGTAGATTTGTTTCCTTGTGTATTGGGGAAAAGTACACACTCATCATGAGGTTTTCTGGACCACTAATAATGTCACCCCTTCATCACCACCATCAGCAAGCATCACCTTGCGTGTAGCTACTCTACTTTGTTTTATTTGGTCAAGTGTCTGGACTTGCTTTTAGACAAACTGTTTATCGTGTGTTTGTATTTGGGAAGGGAAAGGGAACAGGCTGCTATTCTAGTTTCATTTGTGTGAGTTTTAAAAGGGAAGTGGTAGGATATAGGTTGTTCTGATGGACAAGGACTGAGCCTCTTCAGGTGTGAATTTTTAGGGTAGAACTAGGTAAAATAATATTAGACGACTGAATACTGTTGTTTTCTTCAAACAGATTATCGACTTTAAATGCACAGCAGCTTGTCGGTAATATACAAATGTGGGTAATGGGTGGTAAACAATCGCTACCACCGGCGGTCGTCGCCTCACAAGGGTCCCAAAATGCGGAGTCAGTCTTCGGGGCCACCTCAGCGGGTTTTACCCCGGACTCAACAAAGAGGCCCGCAGCGCAGAGCGTTGACGTCACTCAAAACTGGCCCCAATCCTGAGGGGTATCGCAGTGACCCCGCCCCCTCGAGCTCCGAGTGGCGCTCGCGCCACGCCCCTGGGGCGGGGCGATGCCGAAGCCTGGCGGGCCGGCTCAGTAAAGCGGAGGCAGCGGGGGAAGATGGCGGCGGCTGTTCCGCAGCGGGCCTGGACCGTGGAGCAGCTGCGCAGCGAGCAGCTCCCCAAGAAGGACATTATCAAGTTTCTGCAGGATCACGGTTCAGATTCGGTACCGGAGTTGGCGGGGCGGCCGGGCTGGTGCGGCTGAGGGACACTTCACCCCCCCGTAGACGCCCATACATTCCGTATTCCTCCGTGCCCCCGCCCTCGCTCTCCCGCGGCCCGCGGCCTGAAGGCCGAAGCGGCCCCGCGTGCGCTCCCGAGACGCGCTCCCGCCCCCCAGGCCGGCCTTGCTTGGGCGAGCGGAGCAGCTTTATCTTTTGGGGCACGCAGCAATCGGAGATTTAGAACCTTATTGACATACTTGAGTGAGGGTGGAGGCCGTGAAAGAGAAGGAGCCCAGGAGATATTGGGGGTTGAGATGGGAGCCCGAGGACGGAAGGCTTGGTTGAGATCCCTGGAGGGGAGTGTATATTACTAGGGAAAAGATTTCGGATTGCGATTTGCCTTTCTCATCGATTCCCGAACATTGAACACTAAAAAGTGTAATTTTTTTTTTTTTAACAACGTGTAGTTTGCGGATTAACTTAAAATATCGACCCTTCAAATGACCTTTTCACTCTTATGTTTAGGGGAGTTATTTGCGTATTTTGTGTTCAGTGGTCTCCTATTGTTATAACCTAAGAAATCTATTTGACATTCTTCACACTTTTACGCCCCGCATTTTTCATCACAGTCTCCATTTTAACCATCCTCTGTAGTCAAAAGTTATTTTTGTCAGACGGCTTTTTTTCCTTCGGAAATTAATATCATTCATATCTTAAATTAGAACTCGCTTTTCAATGCAGGAGACCTAAGAGACGCGGGTTCTCGATCCCTGGGTCAGGAAGATGCCCTGAAGGAATAAATGGCAACCTACTCCAGTATTCTTGCCTGAAGAATAACCATGGACGGAGGAGCCTGGCGGGCTACAGCCCATAGGGTTGGAAAGAGTCCGAAAGGACTGAAACGACTTAGCAGAGATATCTTAAATTGCTGAACGACTGTACAAATTTATGTGCCCTCAGCATCTCCCACATGGGGAAAATGAAAGCCACAGTCTAAATGTAGTATCCCAACCATTTTTAACTTAATTTCTAAACTTCATTTAGAAAAATTGCATCTGGGCTCTTTTGAGAAGCTTGTAGTTTATAATTTTGCAGGTTTTTGAAGGAGAGGTATTGATCGAGTTACTCTCCCTCTTGCTTCATACTCCTGATAATCCTGACATCTGCAAATACTTTACAACATGTACAGCAGGAACTATACTGTCTGGGGAAACAAGGGTGAAATGAAAAGAACATGCCTCAGAGATACCATTTTATACTATGGTACCATTTTAGTGGAATTATTTTCTCAAGCCAGTTCATATTTCACTGAAATAATAGAGTAGATAAAATACACGATTTCAAGATGAAGGTACATGGATCTGATATTTCAATAGTGGTATTTTGGTGTTCATCTGACAACTCAGTCTTATATTTGAGAGAAATGGAGTTGTTAGATTAAATACATTATTTTATAAGTCAAATAGGTAATATGTATTGAGTTATTCTGTGTGACTGAAAATGGATTTATCTTTACAAGAAGCCTCTGACGAAGGATGCTGTTATTGATCTTTCAACGTGATGTAGAAACAGCCTTGAGACAGCTTAATCCCTTGTCTAAAATCAGACAGCTAGGATTTTAACGTAAATGGTCTGACACCACAGCCTATACAAACACTATGTATCCAGCGTTGTGTTAACAGTGCTTTTGGTTATGCCAAGACTGGGTTACATATATGCCAAGATAGCTAAACCCAACATGACTGGAGGCTCCCAGGGCAGGGCCAAGTAACATCCTGCTGGAAGTAGCTTTGCCCAGTTACCAAAATGTGCTTGCTGTTAAAGTGTGCTCATATGTACACAGTATTTTTTTTTAACCTTCCTTAAATCTTGTTTTTGTTACCAAGTAGAGTGTAAATATAATGTTTCATTTATCATTGGGCTTCCCTGATAGCTCAGATAGTAAAGAATCCACTTGAAATGCAGGAGACATGGGTTCGATCCCTGAGTTGGGAAGATCCCCGCGAGAAGGGTAATGACAACCCACTCTAGTATCCTTGCCTGAAGAATTCCATGGATGGAAGAGTCTGGCATGCTACAGTCCATGGGGTTGCAGACAGTTGGACATGATGGAGCGAGTGACTAACACATGCACACAGAGTATAAAATAAAATGTTTCATTTATCATTAGTAGTATGATTGAAAACATACTTGCTTGATAATTGCTAACATAAAAATTCATTTTCTAGTTTTACGCCCTTCTCTTACATGAGGGAAATTATTTTGACTAACCAAAATTTTTTCTTTACAGTTTCTTGCAGAACATAAATTACTAGGAAACATTAAAAATGTGGCCAAGACAGCTAACAAGGACCATTTGGTTACAGCCTATAACCATCTTTTCGAAAGTAAGGTGAGTACTATTACATTTTATTATCAATACCACTTTAGATATTTTATTCCCAGAAGAAGTTTTAAATGCATTTACTTGCAGATTATGTTGATGTTTTTCCACTTGCACTTTTTCTTAACTATAATCATAAATGGATTGTCAAATTTAGCATGGCTAATCTGCCATATGGTGGGATGTTTTGATATTTTGAATGAGAACAGATTTTTTAAAAATAATTCTCTGGAAGCTTAAATTAAGTCAGCAAATCCTTAAGGATGCTGAAAAGTTATAAATGTAAAATCAGCTGCATTTCATTAATTAATTTAAAGTCTTGGTTAGATCTAGGCTGAGCCTTTAAAAAAGCAGATTTCAAGAAATTCTTCCTGATACGTGTTAACTATGAAATGACCACTTTTCACACACACACACAAAAATTAAAGAATTAATTGAATAATATTCATATCTCCAGGTTATGGGTCTCATTTCAGAATTTATTTTGTGAGATAATTTGAGATACATAATTTATTGATTAAAATGCTTACCGTAAGAGTTTTGTTTTTAGCCAGAATGAATCTGATAAACACCAGATCATTTTCCTTACAGCGTTTCAAGGGTACTGAAAGTATAAGTAAAGTGTCTGAACAGGTGAAAAATGTGAAGCTTAATGAAGATAAACCCAAAGAAACCAAGTCTGAAGAGACTCTGGATGAGGTTTGTATATAATGTATGCTTACTTTATTTCTCAGGTGAATGAGAAAAAGTATTTGCTTTACAGCACTGGTTTCTCATAATAAGATGGGGCTGAGTATGGCCACTTTCAGTGAGCCAAACACTGATTTGGAATGTGTTTTCTCCCTTTGGTGTACTCAGTAAGAAAAAAACCCTAAGAACCAATGGTTTACAGTTAGTAAGCCTTTCCTGTGAAGTACCTCTAACTTTGTATTTTACATTGCCTCTGTGTCTGGCCAGAAGTTCTGAGCTTTCAGAGCTATTTTAAGATCCTATTCTATAGCCAAGTTGGACTGAGTGAAAGAAACTTCCTTTTGATTATTTTTAGCCTTTTTCTAATGTACATGATGTCCTTGGCAATGGAAGTAATTAATTCGAGCCTCACTGCAGGATGTGGGTTTATCTGCCTCATCTTTCCCAACCCAGGTTTTACATTTTGGTAACAAGGTTGGAAGAACCAGATAAAGCTACTTCTGCAAATGGACAGCCTTTCTAGAGCTAAGGACAGCTCTTAGAAAAGCTTCAGTAGAGCTAAATTATTATCTTGCCACTTTTGATAATATCTTGCTAGTAACTAAGCTCATTCATTCCTAGGAGTGTTAGTATCAGTGACAATAATTTGATAAATGTTTTATATACTGGGCAAAATTTTTGCAGCTACTAAGGTAAAAAGAAGTGTAATAATTACTAGAAGGGTTACCAAAGCAATTCGGAACATAGATTATCTTCCAGAAAATTAGAGTAAGGGAGGTATGAGGTGGCAGGTAATATATCAAGGGATTGAGTTAAAAGGAAAAGTTGTAAGGGTTGGAGACAATTTAGAGATCTTGTGAGAGTCCTAAATTATATCCTTTTCTTCAAGACTTCTTTTCATTTCATTTAACTGGTCAGCATGAGCCCTCTTTTTCATGTACTCTCATTGTCTTCCTGGTGCCTGAGTTCTGTAACCTCTGGGCCAGCATTGTGCTGGTCCCTGCTGTCTGCTTTCTCTCTTCATACTTTGGGACTGCAGAGCAAGCTTTGTGAAAAATAGGATTATAAAACTTTTTACTGGCTTAGTATAAATTCTTAAAATCAGCTAATCATGTTTTCTAGTTTCATTGCTACTCAGCAACTTTTATACTTTCCCTTGCTCAATCCCCTATCCATTGCCCATGTGAACTTCTTGACATTTTCACACAAATTCTCAATTCTGTCTTATTCCTTTCTTATTATATACCGCTTTGTTCTCTTTTACCAAAATATCAACATACATACTAATAGTTGTAACTGTTCTCGTCTTCCAGCTTAAAAGCTCTCTGAATTGGTTTTCTTTTCCTTCTCATGTCTCCCTCAGATCTAAGGCTCTCAAACATCTCTTCCAAATCTTCATCCATTCCTTTTTGATTCTCAGGCATTCCAAGGCCTTAGACATGGAGTATGGAAAAAGTCACCAATCTGCCTTCAGTCTCTTTCTTCATCATTCAGCCCCAAATATCTCTTCTACTAATAAGCTTTCTAAAATATCTTGCAAACTTCACCCTGCTCAAGAATCTTCCGTAATTCTATACTGTCTAGAACTGCATTGTCCAGAGTAGTCATTAACCACACGTGGCTGCTGAGCACTTCGTAGCCACTCTGAATTGAAGTGTGCCTTCAGTATAAAATAGGAAATTTCAAAGCTTACTATGATTTTTAAAAAAGAATGTGAAATATTTCAATACTTTAATATTGATTACATGTTGAAATATTAATGTGGCAACTAGACAACTTAAGATTACATTTGTGACTCATATTTCTTTTTATTTTTTTATTAGTTGGAGGCTAATGACTTGACAACATTGCAGTGGGTTTTGTCACACATTGACATGAATCAGTGACTCGTATTTCTATTGAATTGCATCTCTGGCCTACAGAACCTTCCAGTGTCTGGCCCCTGCCCAGCTCCATAGTTACTACTACTTTAGAAATATTCTTGAGTCACAGATGTTTGCTCATTGTCAGTAAACTGTCCATACTTTTATTTCTTGCTTAGTGTATTTCTTCTCTCAATTTCTTCTGTCTTGTCAGTTCTGTGTCCCCTTCAAGGCCCAGGTCATGGGCTCATCACTTTCTCCAGAGTTTTTACCATCCCACATTTTACTGTTAATGTAAGTCAGAAGTTCTCGTAGCTCATGATACCTAGATTTATCTCTACCTTTTATTTATCTTAATGCAAAGAACCTTGTCTAAAGCTCTTTGTTGTTGTTTAGTTGCTAAGTCATGTCTGACTCTTCGCAACCCCATGCACTGTAGCCTGCCAGGCTGCTCTGTCCACGGGTTTATCCCAGGCAAGAATACTGGAGTGGGTTACCACTTCCTTCTCCAGGGGATCTTCCTGACCCAGGGATTGAATCCATGCCCCCTGCAGTGGAAGCATGGAGTTTTAGACACTGGACTGCCAGTGATGTCCTTGTAATATTTCTGACCTTGGGAATAACTGGTTCATTTTATTGTTTGATGCATAATTAATCTTATCAAAAGAACACTGGTTTCCAGAGAAGCTGCAAGTTTGAAATTACAGATATGCTAGTTATGGGGTAACAGAGAATGAGGTTGGATGGCATCATTGACTCAAGGGACATGAGTTTGAGCAACCTCTGGGAGATAGTGAGGAACAGGGAAGCTTGGTATGCTGCAATGCATGGGGTCACAGAGTTGGGCATGACTGTGCAACTGAACAACAGTTACTAATATTCTCATCACAGACTTAAAATGAGAGTGAATTTTTTAACTTGAGAGGTCAGTCAGAGGCAAAATAGTTTATTACCCAATGTGAAACTCTGACTGGACTTAGGTCACAGTTGGCCGTGTTAAGTATTCTCTTTGTCCTCCTTCTAAAAAAAGGACATGAGTTAACAACTGTTTTTTGTTTCTAGGGTCCACCAAAATATACAAAATCTGTTCTTAAAAAAGGAGATAAAACCAACTTTCCCAAAAAGGGAGATGTTGTTCACTGCTGGTATACAGGAACACTACAAGATGGGACTGTTTTTGATACTAATATTCAAACGAGTAAGTCTAAATGTAATCTTATCATTTTGGCTGTAAGACATGCAAAACACTTGTGTTGGCAGTACCTTTTTTTTGGCTGTCATTTTTTCCAGAAGTCTTTTGCATTTGTAATTTATTAATACTAGTAAGAGGTTTTCACTTCACTACGTGTTGGCTGCATGTAAATAAAGACCTTTTGGTCACTGCAGAGCAAAAAATAAAGCTTAGTCTAATCTTTATTAATGCCCCAAATTCAGGCATTTGTATTCTAATGTAAAAGGCAGAATAGTGTTATTTTAATGGTGTAATATAGGTCCTTTCCCTCTCCCTCCTTTAGACCATAGTTATTTTTACATCCAAAATTTTCTTGATGAATTATTTGGCTTTCTGAATTTTTATTTTCAGATGCATAGCATGGTAAGTTCTGAAATCAATTGCAAGACTTAAATCCCTGTGTTTTCCAACTGGAACTTAATTTCATCATTAATTATAAGGAAAATCTGTTTTACAGGTTCAAAGAAGAAGAAAAATGCCAAGCCTTTAAGTTTTAAGGTTGGGATAGGCAAAGTTATCAGAGGGGTAAGTAAAAACTGGCCATGAACCAGTATATATTCTGGCCCATGCTGCATGTGGCATAACATAATGAATTAGGTTTGGGGAGACAATAAAAACAAACTTTGGGGTTTCATATCAAGAGCTTCCCTGGTGGCTCAACTGGTAAAGAATCCGTCTGCAATGTCGGAGACCTGGGTTCAATCCCTAGGTTGGGAAGATCCCCTGGAGAACGGAACGGCTACCCACTCCAATATTTATGCCTGGAGAATTCCATGGACTGGGTAGTCCATGGGGTCACAGAGAGTCAGACACAACTGAGCGACTTTCACTTCACTGGCACTGCTAACTGATCTGGCACAAGTTAAGTCCTCTGGGTTTCATACAGTACAGCCTACCCCCAGGTTGTTAAAAACATTAAATGGGTATAACTTAAAGCATGTAATATAATAGAAACTAAAATATTATTTCCTTCCATGCTTACCCCTTTTATTTTTTTTTTTCATGAAGTAATTGTCAGAATCACTGACAAGTAAGTTTGGTTTTCTGAATTTGTCTGTATGATTTCTGTAAAATGTTACATATCTATTGTACCACTTATACATGATTCAGAAAGGTAAAATACCTGATCCACTGAAGTACTGACAGAAGCCTTTGAGTGTTTCCTGTAGCCTTCTCACCTCTCACAATTTGCTCAAACACCAAAAAAGATCTTTGCAATGTAAGCATGCCTTTACCCACCCTTATGTGTGTGAGATAACAGAAGGAAACTGAGAAAAAGGAAAGTTAGGCTTGAGCTACTGACCATTGCCTTGTACAAAAGGAGATTGAAAAGCAGAGCTGATCATCATCCTCAACTGAATCAGGTTGTCATATTAGGGCCTGCTTATTGTTCTAAATTCTTTGTATTCAGAACAAACATTAATAACAAAAATGCCTATTTAAGTGCAGTTACGAGAACCCTCAATGTGTTATTCTTTGTACTGTGGTAAGACCTAAAATACTATTCAGTCTTATCCAGAGTCCAAAATAGATTGTAGAACATCTTGAAACTAAAGGTTTAGTTGAAACTCACTTTTTACTACTACCTGATTATACCAAGTTGATTTATCAAGTTGAGCTATTTTTCTGTTTCTATAACTAATGTGCTTACTGGTAAGTTTGTTCTGTTCAACTAAATTCTTAACTTCCAGTATGTGAGAAATCTGTATCATTTGAGCTTATATAATTGTTACATTTCAACAGAGTATATAAGTGAATACATTCTATATCCTTCCATTATGTTGATTTGTTTTTGGTAATTTGGCCTAAGACCCAAATTTGTACAAAATGACATTATGTCATTTTCAAGACTTCAAGTATTTATACTAAAAAACTGTTTAATATGTCCTTAAGTTTTTTTTTTCCATTGAGACAATGAAGGACAAAGATTTAGGGACTCACTCAAGGACATTACTTTAGGACATAATGAAGTCCTGTAACAGAATGCTTTGTATGTAATCTTGCCTTTCTTCTGGTTTTGCATGTATTTTTTTGTGAAGTATCATTAGTTTTAATTTGATGTTCTCGTCTGTAGTGGGATGAAGCACTCTTGACTATGAGTAAAGGAGAAAAGGCTCGACTGGAGATTGAACCAGAATGGGCTTATGGAAAGAAAGGACAGCCTGATGCCAAGTATCCTTTTTTTCTTGGTAATTAAAAGAAAACACAGTTGAAGATCACTTGAAGGCATGCAAGATGCTATCTAGGCTATTAACCTCTAGAAGAGAGAACATGTCCAGACCAGTCTTCAGATCTTTATATGCTTTTGTGTCAACACAACCTCCAATACAGACAGTGTTTTCCACTGTTATAGGGATTCTAGAATCTCTTTTTCCCCTTCCTATTTAAGCTCTTAATTTTCAAGACCTAAACTGAGATTTAAGTTTCTATCTTTGAAAAGCTACTATTAATGTTTGAAAAATTTCAAGGAGTAAGATGCTCAATATAAACAACTGTAGCAAATTGTAGGATTCAAATATGACTCATGGTGATTTTTATGGTACTGTATAATTTCAGGCAATTGAACTGGGTTCTCAAAGCTTAGCAATGGAAAACATGTTGGGGATTACCAGTTGTGAAATGAAGGAGACCATGGTCCAACATCAGTGTGAACATTAATAAAAGAGAAGAGCCATGATTCCAATCTGTTACAAGCAGAACAACCCAGTAGCTAAGTTTAGTTTAGTTGTTTAGTAGTTTAGTTGTTGGTTCCATTCCCAATGGAAAAGTTAGACCAGTGAGAGTAAGTTTACGGGAGGAGGGAATTGGAAGTCCTTTTTAGTCTTCTCAGTTATTAATATAGTTACTTGGGAATACAATAGCCTTCTCAACCTATCAAAATCCCACAGCCAGCTGCAGCTCCCACAGTCTCATGTGAAGTATCTCAAGATCAGTTAGATAAAAATCACTCTTCCTGAACCCAACATCTGAAAATTCACAGCAACTATCAGGTACTACCTCATATGAACTTTAGTATAATTTACACACCCAGCTAAACTGAAATCACTTTTTGGGGCTGGATGGGAGGTACCGAGTAGCAGTCTTCATAAAGTAGTGGCTAAGCTGGGAGTACCTAGTGACACAGGAAGATCCTAGTTCAAGCTCAATTTATCTAGTCAACCTCTCATCAGGTTTTGACCTCCATTCAAAAATAATTTTAGGAACCTCTTGGTTTGTATGTACTAGCCCCTGAGTCAACTATAAAGCCCTCCCTGTGCAGTTAATTACAAATATCTAAAATTCTAATTTTAGATGAAGGTTATTGGGAGTGAGGAAAGAGACAACTTTTATCAAATTTACCTTAACTTCTTCAACAGAATTCCACCAAATGCAAAACTTATTTTTGAAGTGGAATTAGTGGATATTGACTGAAATAGTTAAGAAATCATCAACAATAAAACATGGCCGTGAAGAAACTTATCTAATTAGAGCTGGTTACTATTGTTAAGATAAGAGTCAACTGGAAAACAATTCAAGTTAGAACATGTTTACTTGATCCCTCAACTTTTAAGAAATGTAATCCATTATAAACCCTTGAACTTTAAAATATTTTACTACAGTTGTGTAAAATATCACTTAAAGAGAACTGATTTGCCTTTTACCTCATGTTGTAAACTAAAAGGCTCAATAAAAATTATCCAATGTCTTGATTTGTGTGGTATAAATGTATTAATGTTCTGATTAGGTTAACCAGTACTAAGAGTTCACCAAACCAAGGGAGTAACACTAAATTTGTCTGGACAGCCTTGCCAGAGATACTCATCTTAAAATATTTAAATGTTTCCGTATAAGGCAGGCAAAAGCATAGAGACTGAGAAGAAGCAAAAAGCTACAAAACTTAAGAAATTCTGTCAAGAAGATTAGAGAGAAGTATATTTCAGAATCATGGTGAATATAAATTTAATATTAAACCACTAAGCATGGTGAATATAAATTTTTAAGTGATTTCCCCCCGAATAAATCCGTAACAATTATTGGATGAGTCTTCAGTTTTATTACAAAAATGAAGATGATCAGTTTGATCAAAATGAAAGCTTGCTCACAAGTTTAACATGAATATTCCAAATACAAAGTCTCCCAAAACAACATAGTTTTGATATGATTTCCATTTTTTCAAAGGGATGCAAAGATTTCCATTTCCTCATTTATTATCTCTATTCCAAGACAATATTTTAACAGGAATTGTTTCTGCTGTTAGATCCAAATTCACAAGTATAATCAAAACACACAGACAGTATCTTGTCAGCAAAGGTTAAAAAACCATTTTTTTTTTTTAAAGAGGAGGTAAATCCTTAATAACCAGCCCTTATGTGTTTTCAGAATCTTGTACTACACTGACATGATTTGCAGTCAGTTTTTTTTTCCTACCCTTAAGGCTACAAAACTCTGTTGCAAATGCATTGCAAAAGAATTCTAGACCACTTAATGCAAAAAAATAAAAAAAATAGTTCTCCAATAAAAAGTAAATTTTATAAATGGTAGGAAATAGTATCTGTGGTAAGCTACTAAGTGACATTTTCCCCTATTACTAAACAAATCATGTTACACAGAAACAGGGAAGACAAGTTATCAAATACAACAAGCTTGTACTATGTTTACATCCCTCATTAAAAAAAAATAATTTCACACTTTTCACACATTCCATCTGATACTTGATTTTCTTATCAGGTTGGAGGAGGAGGGTAATACTGTCCATAATTCCAAGGATTCTGATAATTGTACTGAAAAGAAAAAGCAAATGTATCAGCATACAAGAGCTATGACTGGGTTCCATATATAACAGTTTAATTAAGGCAGGTTTCTATTTAAAGAAAATAAGCAATTATGTAGCAGTTTTAAAGATAAAAATGGTTTTCATTTAAAAAAAAATAAAAACCATGTGTTCACTGCTGAAATTCCAAGTCTTAATCATAAAAGACAATGTATCTACACACAGATCAAAAGTAAAGAGGTTTTTTTTACCCTAAAGAAGGAAAAAAAGACTACCCTAATTTATATATATAATTTTGAGTAACATCTATTAACCAAAAAAATCAATTATAATCATGTAAACTTACCTGATACCAGGCACTGTAATTATACGCAGCTTGATTTGCCTGCAAATCACCATCAATCATCTGTGTAGATGATGAAGTTGTATCTTCTGTGTGAACTTTCTTTTCCTCTGGTTCTTCTGATCTAAAAGGTAAAAATGGAAACTTTATTTCAAATCATGGAAAAAGTAAATTATCACAATATAAAGGTAATAATTATTTTTAAAGGGATTTCCACTATGAACTGTGTTTTTCTAAGCTTCCTTTCCTGATTCAGCAGGAAGTTACATACCCGTTTTCTGCTTTTCTTTTTAAAGAATCCTGCTCTTTTAGGAGTGTTTGATGTTCATCATAAGCATTCAAAAGCCTGTATGGGAAGGAGAAACAATCCACTGGAATACATAGAAGCCAAACTTAAAACTTTTTTAGGTTTTCAAGTTACTTCCACTCAGTGAAACAAAAGCAAGTAGAAATGAACACTGTTTAGAAGAAAAAACAAGCAGACAAACCTAGCCCTAAATACCTTTTCTATTTGCTTGCCTTGCACTTTCCTTCTCAGTCCATGTGGTTCAAATGAGGCTTCAGAGATATAGGCCTGGCCAATTACCTTACTAGATGTCTCTGACCAATAACTGGTTCAGAGGTGATCACATGACCCAAAACAGGATCAGTAAGTCCCAGGATTTTTGATTGAGATACTGAAGAAGTGCCTGTTCCCTGCACTACAGTGGGCTAGAGCTTGAGGGGACGCTGGTCAAGACCTATGTGTTTATCATTTTTAACACATGGGAAGGGGCTAAGGAGCTATATCACACGACAAAGACAGCGACTTTGACACTGGTTTTGTCTAGCACAACCTTGAATTCTGACAGTTCTATAATCCGTGTACTTCTGAAATCTAATTTAACAATGCTTACTAAAGACACCTGCCACCAGTTAGGATAAAGTATATTTAAACTTTGGCTATGTGATAAACTGAATGAGAACTAAAAATTTCAAAATACTTAATAATCATTGATTAAAAAGATAAGTTTTAATAAAAAATTTTAATGGGCTATGTATTACAGGTTTCACCTGGAACTTACAACTTCAAAAACAATGTCACTTGAAGCAAAACTGACTTTAAAATCAATGATTTTGTAATTTTCTTTTTCCTTTTTTTGAGCACTGACTGCTAACCCAGACTGGAACACCAGTCTTTTAAAATATTTTTTAGAAATACAAAGATGGCCTTATTTTTTAAGGTAATCATAAACCTGAACACAGATTTCTCTGAAAGAGAATACAGAGATTAAAATTTCTCTGAAAATGACCTTGATATTTACATGCATGTTCAACTTCCCTGAACAGCCTGCATATGTACACATTTAATAGCTATTACCAGTGACACTTGGAGAAGGGAACAGCAACCCACTTCAGTATTCGTGCCTGGAGAATTTCATGGACAGGGGAGCCTGGTGGACTACAGTCCAAGGGGTCATAAAGACTTGGACATGACTAAGCGACCAACAGGAATGGTATGGACCAAACAGAAGCAGAAGATACTAAGAAGAGGTGGCAAGAATACACAGAAGAACTGTACAGGAGAGATCTTCATGACCCAGATAATCACGATGGTATGGTTACTGACCTAGAACCAGACATCCTGGAATGCAAAGTGGGCCTTAGGAAGCATCACTACAAACAAAGCTAGTGGAGGTGATGTAATTCCAGTTGAGCTATTTCAAATCCTGAAAGATGATGCTGTGAAAGTGCTGCACTCAATATGCCAGCAAATTTGGAAAACTCAGCAGTGGCCACAGGATTGGAAAAGGTCAGTTTCATTACAGTCCCCAAGAAAGGCAATGCCAAAGAATGTTCAAACTACCGCACAATTGCACTCATCTCACATGTTAGCAAAGTAATGCTCAAAATTCTCCAAGCTAGGCTTCAACAGTATGTGAACTGTGAACTTCCAGATGTTCAAGCTGGATTTAGAAAAGGCAGAAAGAACCAGAGATCAAACTTCCAACATCCGTTGGATCATCGAAAAAGCAAGAGAATTCCAGAAGAACATCTATTTCTGCTTTATTGACTATTCCAAAACCTTTGATTGTGTGGGTCACAACAAACTGTGGAAAATTCTTAGAGAGGTGGGAATACCAGACCACGCCTGACCTGCCTCCTGAGAAATCTGTACGCAGGCCAAGAAGCAACAGTTGAAACTGGACATGGAGCAACAGACTGGTTCCAAATCGGGAAAGGAGTACGTCAAGGCTGTATACTGTGACCCTGCTTATTTAACTTATATGCAGAGTACATCATGTGAAATGCTGGACTGGATGAAGCACAGGCTGCAATCAAGACTGCTGGGAGAAATATCAGTAACTTCAGATATGCAAATGACACAACACTTATGGCAGAAAGAGAACACCTCTTGATGAAAGTGAAAGGAGAGAGTGAAAAAGTTGGCTTAAAACTCAACATTCAGAAAACTAAGATCATGGCATCTGGTCCCATCACTTCATAGCAAATAGATGGGGAAACAGTGAACACAGATTTTATTTTCTTGGGCTCCAAAGTCACTTCAGATGGTGGCTGCAGTCATGAAATTAAAAGATGCTTGCTCCTTGGAAGAATTACGACCAACCTAGACAGCATATTAAAGAGCAGAGACATTACTTTGCCAACAAAGGTCCGCCTGGACAGTTATGGTTTTTCCAGTAGGTAAGTATGGATGTGAGACCATAAAGTATGGATGTGGACCATAAAGAAAGCTGAGTGCCGAAGAATTGACGCTTCTGAACTGTGGTGTTGGAGAAGATTCTTGAGAGTCCCTTGGACTGCAAGGAGATCCAACCAGTCCATCCTGAAGAAGCTAAGTCCTGGGTATTCATTGGAAGGACTGATGCTGCAGCTGAAACTCTTAATACTTTGGCAGCCTGATGTGAAGAACTGACTCATTTGAAAAGATCCTGATGCTGGGAAAGATTGAAGGCTGGAGAAGGGGACGACAGAGGATGAGGTGGTTGGATAGCATCACCGACTCAATGGACTGAGTTTGAGTAACCTCTGGGAGTTGGTGATGGACAGGGAGGCCTGGTGTGCTGCAGTGCATGGGGTTGCAAAGAGTCAGACACCACTGAGCAACTGAACTGAACTGAGCTAGTAAAACACACACACAACTTCCTTAAGACGTTTAACAACTTGTGGGTTGGCAACAAGAGACTCAATATTCATTTGAGAAAATCTGGAAACTGAGGAATACAAAACATTAAGAGCTGGGATTTAAGCCTGTATTTGTCTGACTTGAACATTAATTCTTATTAATTCATTACAGTTATATTTAAATATCTAAGCAGTTCATTTTCCATATGATTTCTTTTTAAAATTTCATATACAACAGACCTGATACTCAGACCCTCCACAACTCTATTCGCAAGGGCCTAACTGGCATCTCAGATTTGTCTGTGTATTACTGCCAGATTTAAATGTCATTTCATCTCAGTCAAAACTCTTAACTGCTTCCTACTGTCAACCATGTATCACATGTGCTCTGAACTCAGTCTAGCTTTTAAGACAGCACATTTAGCATCAAGCTTTCACTGCTTCATAAAACCCTCCAATCCAATGTAGAAGGTGTTACTTTTACATGAACTTTCATTTGCTTTCACCACTTATAGCCTCTCCTAAGTCTGTCAGCTGAGCACTGAAGAATTGGTGCTTTTTGAGCTGTGGTGCTGGTGAAGACTCTCGAGAGTCCCTTGGACTGCAAGGGGATCAAACCAGTCCATCCTAAAGGAAATCAGTCCTGAATATTCACTGGAAGGACTAATGCTGAAGCTTCAATGCTTTGGCCACTTGATGTGAAGAGCTGATTCATTGGAAAAGACTCTGACGCTGGGAAAGATAGAAGGCAGGAGGAGAAGGGGACGACAGAGGACGAGATGGTTCGATGGCATCATTGATTCAACGGAGATGAGCTTGTGCAAACTGCATGAGACAGTGGACAGGGAGGCCTGGTGTGCTGCAGTCCATGGAGTTGCAAAGAGTCGGACATGACTGAGTGACTGAACAAAGCTTATCAGAATCCAGTAACAACTAAATGAAACCCCACCTCTTCTGTGAAAGTTGCCAAATCGCTTCTGTTCCAAAGAGATCACAGCCTTCTTAATAGTTATACACTACCTCACATACATACATCTATCACCATACCATCCACCTTCATTAAAAGATGGAATTACATATGCCATTTCTTTTGTATACTTTCTTCAGTGCAAAACAAACAAAGACACATATAGGTATCTTCTTAACTATCACATAAGGTGGTTGAGAACATAGGCCCTGTAGTAGGTTCTAATCTCAGCTGCACAAATAGCTAAGAGACCTTGGAAAAACTGCCTAATCTCTCTTTAGCCTCTCTGTCTATAAAGAGAACAGTACCTTTTCCCCTCCTTATAGACTGTCAATGTGTTTCACATTAGGTAATTATAAAACATTTAATATGCCAAGCACATATATACAACTGTATTAAAAGGTAACTCACGTTAAATGTTTTTAGTTTAATTAAAATCTTACTCAGCCATCAAAAATGTTTACACACTTGCCTAACAGCAATTAGGGTATTTCTATACTAGAATCAGGTAAGAAAGGAATGGCAGCAACGTTCTCATCAGTATTTCTACTCTCTATTTTGCAAATTTAAATCTTAAACTTGTCCTTTTCGCTAGGGGAAACTCTTACCACCCTTATCTTTTAGCTTTTTACAATACATGAAAATTAGGCCATTAAGCATGATCTTGGCACCACACTCATTCTTCTCCAACCTGAGATTGCATTCCTATTCCAGATTAACCACACACAGCCTTGGTGACCTATATATCAAATGTTTCTGTGTTTCACAGTTCACTCCTTCACTTGCTCTCTTTCTCACAGAATTCCTGCTTCCTGCCTTCTCTCATCTGCTCATTGTTTAAAATTACCACGCTAAAATTCTGAAAATAGTTTTGAAGGAAAGACAAACCATATGTCCTCTTATTAAGCACATAAACGTTTGCAAAATTGAATTTACCCCCATACATACCTAAGGAAAAAAGGAACCTAAGAAACATTTAAAATTTAACAATATTCTACTTTGTACTTGTCATCAAAGTCCCATCCAAAATAATCAATGTTCTTTTACTATTCAAATAGATAATATATAATTAAGATCTTACTTATTAACATCTGAACCAAAATCTTCAAGAAATTCCACTTTTCTCTGAGAAAATGTAATTCTCATTTTAATAGGTAATGAACCATGTATAGCTTTGTCAAAACAATTTAGGATATTTTCTTCATTTTGTTTGAGGTCACCACTATATTCCATTTCAAGTAAATTGAGGTATAACTTTGTGTTCTCCTGTGTAAAAAGCAGTACCAATTAATCATATATTTCTAAGATATTTTGATTAGACCATAGATATTTAAAATGCCTTAATGTTCATGTCTCAACTTTAAAAATTCAATATTGAAAATCGTATTAAAATGTAACTCATGTTAAATATTTTCAGCATACATATAAACAGGTTAAAAAAACTAACACACACGTTGGTAGATAGAATCTTCTAAACTATGCACATTGTTATGCCAATAAATTAAAATCCTATATCCTATTTAGTGTGCTTGACCTACCACAACAAATATGAAGTAAAACACTAAAAAATGATCTCTACATGCCCCAGTAACAACCACAGATGATCATCCTCAACTGCAGCTGGAAGCAAACCTGTTATAAACCTGGGTGCTAAACAAACACGGTATTTGCTGAAAATCTAAAAACTGAGAAATTTCCCAGGCACTGTCTTTTGGCATTAATTGACATATAAAAGGAAATAATTTATATACTTTACATAAGAGGAGAATAATCTCACAATATAGGCAATAATGCTACAATGTAGGCAATTACCATGCCTTTGTTTATAGTTTCTCCCACGCCCTCTAATCTACTTAATAATCGGTAAATTTGCCACAAAATTTCTGAATGTGGAGAAAATAGAAAATGTAAAACAATATTAGCCATAGTTTTAATCCTATAATGTTAATTTTCTCAATGTTTTAATGCATCATAATGTGAAAATTTTTTGAAAGAACGGCAACATCAGTTTAGAGGGACTGTTGTCTTCACTTAGTAATAAAATATATTACATACAGACCAAATCTTTCATCATAGTTGCCAAAATGAAAAAACCACCAAGAAAGACCAATTTTTTTTTTTTTAATGGAAGATACTCTAAAAAAACACAAATACATACTTTGTCTCTTTCAATAGCTTCCAAAAGCACCTTTCTTGATTTTGGAAGGTTTTTTTGTATTTTGAAAAGATGTCGGGCTAGTTTGATAGCATAGAATGCTGATTCATTATTTGACTTGGCATTCTTAATGGCTTCCTGAAGCAAACGTTCAGCTTCTTCCGTATTTCCATGACGTCGTTCTAAGCTTACTCTTCTCAAACGAACCATTGCCAATCCTAGAACACATTCTTCAAATGTTCTCAAGATATTCCTGGCTTCATTAATATTACCTAGAAATAGTAATTAAATGTTTGTGCTTTTGATTAAACTTAGCAAATATCCTTTATGCCATGTATTGGCAAATAAGAGCCCACAGGCTAAATCCAGTTATCTGATCATTTTTTTTTTTTAATGGAAAATAGCCATGGTCATTTGTCTATGTATTTTGTATGGCTATTTTCAGGCTACCATGGCAGAGTTGTTAGGAAAGAGACCATATAGCCTGCAAAGCCAAAATATTTACCATCTGGCCCTTTATAGAAAAAGTTTACCTGACCTCTGCTTTACACCAGTTCCTGAGACTCAATTCCTATATCTTTATCCCAAAGTAACTTAAATCCCAAAATATCAACTGAATTTCCTCATTCTTACCCTGCTGTTCCTCAAAAGCTGCCCAAAGCATATGCACCATGGGTTTCTTTGGGAGGTGAATAGTGCAAGCTCGGCTGAAGACATGCCTCACTCCTTCAATGCTATGATTTTCCATGTACTTGGCATACTACATACAGAAACAGAGGAAATACTGAATAATTTACAGTTGAACAAGCCATTAAATATGTGACAGAACGATAAAATTCTATTTTTAAACCCATTCAGCACCTTTATTGAACCACTAGACTAGTTTCTGTAAGGAAGGACGGAGAGGCAACGAGGTTGGCATATGCAGCAGTCAAATCTGGTTGCAAGCAGACCATCTCCTAATGCAACAGATATAGTTATATGAACAACATTCAACAGAAGTACAAAAAAGGTTAGTCACTAGATCAATGTTTATAATATATTCAAGTTTCAGACCATATAATTTTCTTACCTTAATCCAAAACTCCTCATAGAGGGCACATGATATGACACATCTTTCAAAGAGAACTACAACTCGTTCATGAGTCCCATTTTCAATTTCAAATTCTAAGTATTCTTTCCAGTTTTTCAGTTGTGCCTTTTCCAATGGTTTCACATGAAAATATGGTCTTTTAATCTGTAATAGAAGCATGGCATAACAATGAAAGTAAACCACCACCAAACATGCATTATTACAGTAATGCAAATTGCTTCAATTATAAATAATGAACCAGAAAAGTTTAATCACCACATCTCATGATTAAAAAGATTTTTAAAGTTAAAATCCCTTTAATTACTTAGGTTTTATAAATTGAAGGAACAAAATTATTTTCCAATTATCCAGTCATTTTAACAGAACTACACAATTTTATGTTCAGAACATTTTATTCTTTGCTGAGTATTTTAGAACTGAACAATTACACAAGAGTAACGGTAAGCAGATAGTGTCCATCACAGATGAATGGATAAAGTGATGTGGTATATATACATACAGACACACAACAATGGAATACTACTCAGCCATAAAAAGAATGAAATAATGCCATTTTCTGCAACACAGATGTAACTAGACTATCATACTTAGTGAAATAGAATGATAAAGACAAATACTGTGTCCTATCACCTATATGTGGAATCTAAAAAAAAAAAAATAGTGAATATTAAAAAAATAAATAAATAAGGTAGATAAGCAGTTGCCTGGGCTGAGTCAGGTGGTTACTGACTTGAAAAGGAGCCAAAGGGGACCTTTTGAGGTGACAGGATAGTCCTATATGCTTACTGTTGTGATAATCACAATGCTTGTCAAATGTCATTTTACTAGCCAATCACAAAAAAAATAACAACACATACTACATGATTCCATTCATATAAAAGGCCAGAACAGGGAAATCTATAAGAATAGAAGTAGGTTAGTGGTACCTTGGAGTTGGTAGTAGGGAAGAGTAAGCAGGTGAGGGGTAAAAGCTAAAGAGTTTTTCAAAAGTGATGAAATGTCCTAAAATTAACATTAATTAAATGTTCTAAAATTATCTGTAGGTACATATCTGTGAATATATTAACTACTAAAGTGTACACTTTAAGTATATGGCATGTGAATTACATCTCAATAAAATGCTTAAAGAAATAAAAGCCCTCATTTTACTCTATTTAAAATAGGTACATTTTGTTATATTACATGAAATGACTCAATGAAGTTGATTTTATAAACTGAATTGTAGTAAAACAGTTCAGATTAGACAGGTAACTTGCAATTCAAATAAATTTGAATTCAATATTTCTAAAGTTGATAACAGAAAATTGATAATGGCAGCCATAAATGCAACAAACATTACTTAAACAAGCGAAAATAAAAAGCAGAGACATCACTCAAAACTAAAAGAAAAATACATTATTCCTATCTGTATTTTGAAGCCTATTAACGACAACAAAAAAGCAAAACACTTACACCTTCTTCAAATGTCCACCTTTTACTAACTTCATGCTCATTATAATTAAACATTTCTTGATGAATTTCAATGATTCTATGTCTCATATTTTCTATTTCTGTAATAAGCTTGGGAAGAAAAAAAATTTAAACATGTAAGTTATATAGTAAAATTTTAAAATATCACTGCTTACATTAAGTATTATCCACACTTTAATCTTAGTGACCGGTTTCTGTTATCAATTATGGCAAAGTACAATTAACGATACTGAAATTAGTAACAGATTTTCATAATAAACCACTTTCTTATATGCCTTAAAAAAACAACAGGTCTAGTACATCACAACATAGGTGAAATTATCCTTTTACACTAATTTAGTTTCAGGTGTCTCTTAGTAAAACAGATCATCTGCTTTAAATCTATATTTAAACCACACTAGCTAAAGAATTCCTGGAGAAGGCAATGGCACACTACTCCAGTACTTGCCTGGAAAATCCTATGGATGGAGGAGCCTGGTAGGCTGCAGTCCATGGGGTCGCTAAGAGTCGGACACGACTGAGCGACTTCACTTTCACTTTTCACTTTCATGCATTGGAGGAGGAAATGGCAACCCACTCCAGTGTTCCTGCCTGGAGAATCCCAGGGACGGGGGAGCCTGGTGGGCTGCTGTCTATGGGGTCGCACAGTCGGATATGACTGAAGCAACTTAGCAGCAGCAGCAGCTAAATAATTCTTACCTGCCTTAATCAGAAATTAATTTTATAAGAGCTACAAATCATACCACACATGCAGTCAAGGGACATAAAGTCTATAGTTTCTCACACATGGAAATTTTTTTTTTAGTAAGTCTGGTTACCTTTGCTGGATCAGTTATGTCTTCTATTCCTGATGGCAGATCATCACCAGGAGGACCATCATCACCACTATGCCCATTTACAGAAGCTAATTCCCTTCTCAGCTGAATAAACTGTTCACCAGTTAGAAGATCTCTAGGCAAATTATTCTGGACATGGTCTTTAAATCTAATGGAAGACAATAAAAATACAAGCTCTATATATAAAGCATAACTTTAGATCCCACATCACATTTCTACTTACACATTATTCTTTCAAAGGAACTCTGACTTAAAACAAAAAAACCCCCCACACCTTTTCTCCTCCTTTTCTATAGTAATAACCTACACCACTTGATAAAACAATGTACAGACATCTTCATTTCCTTCCTGCCTTTGCAATGGAATGATGAAGGCAAGTCATACACTGAAATCCTACTTTTGTCCATTACTAATTATTTGACTTGAAGTTTTTCCCTTCTCTGTTAGTTTTCTCATCTGTAAAGTTAAATAAGCAATCCATATCTAAATAATAAATGATTACTTATAAATGAGCAACAAATTCTGCAGCTCCTTTGGAACTCACCTCCCAATTACTCCTGAATTCATGTGTCTATGCCAAATACTCCAATGAAACTGCCCTATTAAAGTCACCAAGTACCCCGTATAAGAAAAATTAAATGGATACTTGTTGGCTCTGAGTTACTACCTTCCTGGTTTTCCTCCAAGTCTCTGACTGCTCCTTGATCTCCTTTGAGGGGTCCCCACTCCAGTCTGCCCCTAAATACTAGTATGCCCAAGGATTCTACTCTACATTTAGTTGTGATATGTTTTTATATACTTTCTGGCCAATCTTATTAATATAGCTTGAAATAATAAGCATATTGTGATGACTTTTACAACTCTAGTTTAAGCCTAAAGTGAAAAAAAATGTTATTCGCTCAGTTGGGATCTTTGTGTGTCCGACATTTTGCGACTGTAGCCCATCAGGCTCCTCTGTCCATGGAATTCTCCACGCAAGAATACTGGAGCGGGAAGCCATTCCCTTTTCCAGGGGATCTTCCCGACTCAGGGATCAAACCGGGTCTCCTACATTGCAGGCAGATTCTTTACCATTTGAGCCATCAGGAAAGCCCAAACCTTTCCCCTAAATTTCAGATTCACTTGCCAACACTCTGCATAAAGAAATACAGATTTTAAGCAAAGACTGTTTTGAAAAACATGTAATTTCATTTATCTACACATACTAGTTTATATATACACACATACATACAAATTTTAATCAAAAACACAAAGCTGAGGAGCTAAAATATCTACACCATCTTAAATTGGAACCTTACATACATGTCTTCAAGTGTATCACTTTCATCCACAAATCAACACCCTCAGGCATTTCTAATCTTGATATTGTCAACCGCTAAGTTTCCCAATCTCTTCCACCTACCTTATTTCTTACATTCCATTGGTCCTACATTCCTGGTCTTACATACCAGGTCCAATTTAGTCTACCTTCTAAATATGGCTCCATGACCCCCTCATTATTTACCAAAATAAACATAAACCTGTGTCCTGATATTGTCTCCTCCCACTCCCACCTCAATACTGCTATCAAAAATGTTATTAAAAAATAAACATGAGAAACTAGTAAACAGGATCATATCTCATCCTCATCCCCAAAATCACTTCAATGTTTACCCTGCATTCAGACTAAAATCCAGTCTCCATGAAGTCTTTCATATTTTGACCTAGCCTCTGACCCAGGCCTGCATCTTCAACCTAATTCTCAGAGATGGTTGTACACGTACCATAACTTTTGGATTTCCCCCAAAGTTTTTTAAAACTAATGTAGGCTACTGATACATGGATTTTAAAACTTCCATAGGGACCACCCTGGCAGTCCATGGGTTAAGACTCTGCACTTCTAATGCAGGGGCCATAGGTTTGATCCCTGGTCAGAGAACTAAGATGCCGCATGCCACAAGGTACGGCAAAAAAAAAAAAAACTTTTACAAACGTATGTAAATAACATTGGAAATAAAATTTTGCAAAATCAACGAATACAGAGGCTTAACTTGATATATTTTATCACCAGGAGGAAAAAAAATATAGATTGCCTTATTTAAAAAAAATTTTAAATGAGGAAGTAACTTTCAAATGTGTAGTGTGAAAATAAATAATTCTCATATATTAACATTAAAAATTGTCAATATATAGATAAGAAACTTGAAATAAGACTGAAAATAAATTTTAAAACACTTACCATGTTATATTAGAAACTTCTTTCACATGGTGATAACATATGCATAATACTTTTTCATTAGCTTTTTCTACTATAAAGCTAATTTATTCAATCTATTAATAGAATGGCTGAGTGCCTAATACATATGGAACTGTTTTCCTTCGTATTAAGGATGAGCATTTTTCAGTCGCTAAGTTGTGTCTGACTCTGTGACCCCATGCATTGCAGCACACCAGGCTTCCCTATCCTTCACAATTTCTTGTAGTTTGCTCACACTCATGTCCACTGAGTCAGTGATGCCATCCCAACCATCTGATCCTCTGCCTCCCCCTTCTCCTCCTGCCCTCAATCCTTCCCAGCATTAGGGGTTTTTCCAATCATAAAAAGAATTAAAAAGCCTCAGAAAATGACAGACATGTAGAGGATACAGGAGACGTAAATTCAAAGGAGTGTTATTAGTGGTAAGAAAAATGAAATAAATGTAGATAGAGTGCTGGCACAAATGATAAAACAGTTCTGTTTAGGTGAACTGGAAAAAGTGTCATAGAGAAAACATTAAGCTATATGGGTCCTGAGGAATGAGTTCACCAGATAAATGAAAAGTGGAAAAGGCATTACAGTCATAAAAGTATAAATCAACACTGCCCATTGGGAAATTATCAGTACTTAGGTTTATCTAGAGCTTAGGAACTACCAGGGACTGAACCTGAGGAGTTAGATCATACCACAAAAGTATTCATGCTAGGAGGATTTTAAATTAGATGTTTTCTTAGAGATAATGTTCAGTGTACAACCAATATACAAGCCTACACAATAAAGTATTTGTATTACAGCACTTAGAACACTTCTTAGCACATGCTTCCTCTTCTACACTTATGAGTAACTTAAGGGCCAAGTCAATGCACACATATCTTCTACAGGCCTTTATTCCTTCAAATTAAATGCATATCATCTGGTACACAGCAAGTGTTAAATAGGGCAAGTATATTTGACATAAGAAACCATTTCAGCAGTTATTAAAGCAGTTAGTCAAGGGAATTAGTTTATTTATATAAACTATAAGATTTACTGATACAAATACTATTTATCAGTCTGGTATACGCATAAGGAAAGTGGTTCTCATTAAGCAAAAAAGACGAGATTAAGAAGTAGTATGTAAAACGCAACCCACTAAATCTCTGTTATAAGTATACATGCATTTTAAAAACTCAGTGAAATATTCATTAAAAAAAAAAAGATTTAGAAAACTACACCAAGAACTTTGGGGCCATGCTGTCTAAGTTCCAATCAGCTTCCAAGCACTTAGTAACTCTGTAATCTTATGCAAATATTTTAATCTTTCTTTACCTCTACTTTCATAAAATGTAGAAAATACCAGTATGATACCCATGGTTTATTGTGAGGATTAAAACTTATAAGGCACTCAGAATACTGTCTGTATAACTGCTTCTTAGTCTTATTTTTTCTCAGTCACCAACAATAAAATTATAATCATAGGTTTTACCTATACTTTAGACCCTAGAAGAATTGATTTATGAAAGGAAACTGCTTTGTCCCAGAAGACTTTTAAAATCTCTTTTTAAAGGTTTAAAAAAAAATTAATAATATTTTAACTTTTAAAATTTGACCAACAAATATTCACCAAGAATTTCCAGATGCCAATCCTTGTGTTAATCTCTTTCAGCAAGTATCTTCCTAGATCATTTATACCCTAGAAACCTGCACACTCCTCTAAATTTCATGAAAAAAAAAAAAAAAAAAAAGAGATGGCATATTCAGACCCACGTTTCCTATTTCTAATGTGGGTCTGCAGAGATTTAGCAAACTGATCCACAGTTATCTGCAAATGCTTCATGAAGTTTTCTACTTTTTTAGTAAAGAAAATTTCAGAAAATCACTTACTTAAGAAGTACTTAAGTTTACAGGTTCTACCACAATCCTAGTTATAAAAATTATGACAGAAATATAGACAATATGGCACTTAAGAGCAAAACACTTATCAACACAGTCCTCATACTTTCTTGTTCAGAAAGACTGAGTCTTTTCAGTGGGATACTTGAATACATCAAACAGAACATGCAAATCACAGTACACAGAAATAGTTGTTTTATACAGTGTTCATTAAAATGAAATGATACCAATCATAACAGATTATCATAGTAGAAAATTAAACCGAAATAATTTTTGATTGAATATAAATAGGACTTAACTACAAAAAATACATTCTTCACTGTATGAATCACAAGAATGTACCTTGAGTAAATTATTACATTTCAAATAAGCTTCTATTATGTGCTATATACTGAGTTACCCATAAGAATAATAAAGCTTAGATTATTTTCACTACTCTGAAACATCCTAAACAAGAGAGAGAAGTCCTGCTGTTCCCTCATCCATAAAACAGATCAAGGGAACCTTATAAAAACCAGTGAAGTTCATAAACTATATTGAAAATATCAAAATTTCAAAGTGCATATAAATTGTGATTATTGAGCAAAATAAATCTGTTTGCATCTAATAGACTCGTCCATTTCAAGAGAATAATTATCCTCAATATTAGAAATTAATTACCTGAGTAATCACAAAAATATTTTAATGATCTGATTTTTCCACCCACCTCTGAAAATGATGACTATACAGCTGTGTTGGAATACCAAGAATACGATCATATATAGCTGTAACTTCTCTCAGGTTTCCCTGTTCATTTTCCCAGTTTATATACATCTCCCACAGTCTGTCCGATCGGAAATCTGTTCCCGCAGCTAGAACAGCATGCTCAAACGTTCTGAAAAATTAAATTACCTCTACGTTATCTTTCCAAGATAAAACCACTTTAAATATATTATTTCTGCATTTTGCAATATATACAAGTATCAAATCAATAAGTCATACATTTGAAATATAATTTATATGTCAATTATACCTCAATTTTAAAAACAAAATATTTCTAAGTTTTAGAAGATAATGCTAAATTCAAAATTACAGGCAACTTTACAAGTACAGATTAAAAGAAGGAATAATAGACAAGTGTGTGTGACAGCTGCTTAAAAAAAGAAAATATAAAGGGAATAGGTAAACGTACTTTTACGTAGCTGTATATTATTTTATATGATATAAATTTGCAATGCAAGTTACACTACAAACATGTAAGAGTGACAGAGCAGACACTAAAATACTCATTAAACTTGAAATGTATGTTGAATAGATTCCTCTAGGGCAAAAGACAAAGTGACAAAATTTATCGTAAGAAACAGTTTTCTGACAAAGCAACTCTCCAACGAGGGGGCCCAGCTGCCTCTTTGGGTAATGAGAAATATACATATACTTTAAAACTCAAAATTCTCTCCTGATTCTAAAATTCCACAATTAAAGTTTGCTAAAAAGTCCTTTATGTTAAAATATTTGCGCTCATTTCAAGAGATTTCTGTAAGCAATTTTAATCACAGGATTTGATACCTCAATGGGATAAAATTTTAGATACATATTTTCAAAATATATATTATAATCAAGAGGGGTTTTTAACAGCATAGAACTATACTATCTAAAGTAATCTAAAACTAAACAGAATCCCAATCAAAGCACTAAGAATTAGGTGGAACAGAAAAAACAAATTCTAACATTCATCTAACACATAAAAATACAAAATATTTTTCTAAAAGGATAAAGAAGCAGGCTTTTTCCTGAAAGGTCTCCAAGGAAACTAGGAAGCTATAGAAATTAAAGGCACAACACTGACCCAGTATCATCAAAGTGAATTAATAAAACAGTTCTCAAGAAAATAAACCCATACACATGTGACAATTTAGAATATGATAAAAAAGTATTGGTATTTTAAATCCATACAGAAAAAAATAAGCCAATGAAGAAAAGACAGTTCAACAAATGGAAGAAAAAAAAAAGTTAATCTCTGATTCACAAAAGACACAAACTAAGGTTAATCTGTCTCACAAAAGGTACAAACTAAGAATCAGATAAATCAAGGACAGGAAAAAAAAAGTCTACAAAAAGAATTAGTAGAAAACTCACGATTTATATATTCTTGTCAAGACAGGCACAAAACTCAGAAACTAATAAAAGACTGAAAATTGAACCACGTTAAGAAAAAAACAAACACCTCTACATGACAAAAATACCCAATGGAAAATGCTTTAAGGCCCTAAGGAAGTATTACTTTCAACTCAAAATTCTATACCCCACGGGATTCATCAATTGGGTGTTTCAGATATACAAATTAAAAATTTTTTTTTTCATTCCAAGCATCCTTTATCAGAAAGTTATGGAATTCACTCCTCTAAAGGTATGTAAGAACCAAGAAAGAACAGAATCTAATTAATAAACTAATAAACAGAACTTAGACGGTAAAGAGGATGATGGTAATGAGGAAACCTGTAAACAGCTGCCATACAAAAGACTCAGAATAGAACCACCAGTGCAGATTACAGAAGAGGGGGTCCCAGGAGGGTATCTCCAAGGGGCCAGGGTAGAATTTACAGATCTCAGAACATAATTCTCTTTCTATAATTTTCAGATTAAGTAGAATAACACAATACATGCATTTTTTTACTTTCAAAAAAATAACTTACACAGATAGCATTTGTAATTGTGGAAAGTGAGTATTAGTATTGATTGCTGAAAGTAGCTGCTGGAAGGGGTAGAAAATTTTAAGTGTTCCAAGAAAGCCAGGAAACGGAAAAAGAGGCAGAGGTAAGAGAAGGGGTAATCAAAGGAAAAACAAAAAGCTATGAAACCTATCCATATAGGAAAGATGAGGAATGGGAAGACAGGGTATAAATGAACTAAAAATTCTCATATACCATAACAGAATGATAATATCTACAGCTAGTGAAAGAGAAGCAAAAAGCAGTAGAGTGCTATTGCTATCAACATGTTGGAAAATAATAGAAGAAAGAGCTAAAATATCTGAAGAGAGGTGGAGGGACCACTTTTTGTTACAAGTAGTTTAATATTAACTGTCTAAACTATATGCACATACTTTGATAAAAATAAAAACCAAAAATACATTTTAAACTCCTATAATCAGCAATAAGGACAATTCCAAAGTAAAATAATCAAATCATATAAACAGGCAATGTGAAAATGGCTTATACAGATAGCATCTGAAAAGATGGTAAACCAAGATATGTAAACCAAGAAACCTAGGGATGCGTGAATTCAGATAATGAAACACTACAGGAGGTTAAAAAAATATGCCATGACTGGGAAAATGCCTACCCTCACACACCACAACAGTTTAAAGCTGGTACCACTCTACATGTGATAAATGTAGCTGTGTATTTCCTTTGACACAAGTTCCATTTCTATAGTCTCTACATAAATACTGACTTAAAGAGAGATGTTCACTACAGCACTATTTCCTATAAAGACCTGGTTAAATAAAATACACTACCTTGATACTATAAGGTTAAAAAATGGTAGGGAGAAAGTCTAGAACACTGTTAATTAAAAAAAAAAGACAAATATGTATAATGGTATACACACATATATATGTATATCTATGTGTATCTCAAAGAATAAACACCAAGTCATTTACTCTGAAGGGAGAGGGATTAGAGACGTAAGAAAACAGGGTATGGAATGGTGGAGGGCTTTATTATGGACATTTTTAAATAATCATGAGTAAGTTTACTAGAGTATTTTTTATAGTGAAAAAGAAGTATACAAAAGTTAAACTTTCAGTTTAGCATTGACAAGTAGTTCTACTATCAATATCAGAATACCTGACTTATTTATATCTTTAAATACTTATTTTCACATACCCTCTTACAGTACTGTTCGTCTCAGGATCACCAGGGTCCAGTGTTTCTTTTAAGAAGTTTATATAATGTATCCAAAGGTCAACACTCAGAGGTATTGCCTGAAGTCCCCGGCGATACACCTAAGAAGAAAACAACAAACTGCACTTCAAGTATTTAGTTATGTCTTGACAGAGAGGCAACACTGTGTTATCCGGTGAACCTTAGAAATACTAATTACTGGAATTTTGTTTAAATAATCTACCATTACCATTTGGGTGGAGGTTGGATAGAACATGGCAATGTTCTGATCCCCACGTGCAGAGTCTTGATCTTCAAAGCGCAGCAGTCCCTGCATTCTGACCGGGCTGTGTGGGCAGGCTTTGGGTTACAGACCATAGGGCACAGACCCATTAGAGCATCAATGACAGCGTCTGACCAAAAATGCAATAAGACGTAGCAAATGTAACTAGCAAACCAACTATATTGTTTGGAAAATGAGAAATAAATGCAAGTGAGAGAAAAGCCCTGCCCTACTTGTTAAGCTGCAGTGTAATACAGAGGCTTGCACTGCAAAGCTTGACAAACTGTAGAGGTTTAACGCACCTGCCAACAAAGAGAGAAAATATTAGCTACAAATGCCACAAGAGTGACAAATGCAAATAAAATACCCTATAAAATTGTTTGACCATAAATCGTAGGTACTGCCAGCCAAAAAAAAAAAAAGTCTTTGCTTTGTTATTATTTGGCTTACAGTACCTAATGGAGATAATTTTATTCAGTAATGTACGCACCTCATCTGATTGTTTAATGTTGTCATGTCGCTTTTCAAGGTCTGCATACTTTTTCCAATAACCATAGCAATACGGATAGTGTATGAAAAATTTGTCAAATGCTTTCCTGGCAGCCATCAAGTGATTCTGATGAAAATAAAACAAAGTGTTTAAACATCTTGAAAATTTCTGTCACAAAAGCATTTATTATTCTTTCTAATGTACAGGCATACCTCAGAAGTATTGCGGGTTTGATTTCAGACCACTGTTACAAAATGTGTATCACAATAAAGCAGGTCACACAATTTTTTTTGTTTCCAAGTGCACATAAAAATTCTGTTTATATTCTACTGTAGTCTACTAAGTACACAATAGTATTATGTCTAAAAAAAGCAACATACATACCTTAATTTTAAACTACTTTATTGCTACGAATTGCCAAATCAATTATAAAACAGTAATATCAAATACCACTAATCACAGATGACTATAACAAATAATGAAAAAGTCTGAAATATGGTAAAAAATATCAAACATGTGAACAAGACAGGAAGTGAGCAAACACTGTTGGAAAAACAGCACTAACAGACCTTCTCAATGCAGGATTGCCACAAACCTTTGTGAAAAATGTAGCATCTATGAAGTTCAATAAAGTAAAGCGCAATAAAATGAGGTATGCCTGTATTATCTCAAATAAAATAAATGGCAGGCTTAAAAACTATACACTCGACAGCTTTGAAACAAAAGGACCTCATTCTGTCAAGCAGCAGGGTAATTTTTTTTTTTTAATTTTAGCAATTTTATACACATATACGTACACACACCAGTCTTTACAAACATTAGAATTTGATTATAATACTTTCTATAATGTACAAATGCCATGATAGCTATTTTTTGAAGCTAAAATACATATAATTTATTCAACTTAATCTGAAAATTATAAAAGAGGCAACTTCAATTACAAAAGAGTAAGGATTAGTCTCATATTAGTTGTTTAATCTAATCCCATTGAAATAATTACTAACCTCCTGTTCTACATACTGAAGCAAATATACCCAGCCTGTAAAATCCTGAGGATTACTTTCTACAGTTTTCCAAAACTTTTCATATTCTGGAGGGAAATTTGCTTCTGTTTCTGTCACCGGAAGGTCCACAGTACTTGCAATTTCATTTTCTTCTGTAGCTGTGTTCACATTAGGAGATCCATCGGGTGACTGCTCCATTTCTGTAACATTCATAATCTCAGCACTAAAATCAGCAGACTGCTCTCCCACTGCCTCTGAACTGCTGCCGATGCTGCCATTGCTGGAATTTCTGTACTCCTCCATGTGAGAGTTTTGCATAGCTGTTTATTTCGCCTTCAGTTAATGATCTGTGGAAACAAAGAGAAACATCTTCCAAATGTTTATCTGGCATTATCAAAGCCATCTTTTAAAAGCCTAAGTTAGCTATTAAAAGAATACATTAACTTGATTCTTGAACTCTCCTATAAGTCATAATCAGGTTTAATAGTTTTTACATTATAAATTAAATTCTGTAACATATAAATGTTCCAAAATTCTGCCACTTATTGTTGGCTGAGCAAAAACTAGTTCATCTATAAAACAACTGAATATTGTGCTAGCTCCCTAAAGAAGCAACCATATCTTGAATTCAATGCTTCTCAGCTAGCTAAGAATCTAAAATTTAATGTATGAATTCTATCCTGCTACCAATCCTGACAAACAGCAATATTTTTAATATCTATCCTGGAGACTACAGGTAAAACTAATAAAACAAACTGTGATAATGGACATAAATGTTCCACAGGGAAATGCACAACATAGCTCAAGGCAGATTTTTAGAAAAGAGAAGGTTAATACTGTTGAAATATATTTATAATTTTTAATTCTAGAAGATTTTATTATAGAAGACATATATTATTTTAAAAAATTAAAGAGTGACTTTTAAAGTGATTAAATATTATTAAAAACATATTCATGAGAGAATTCCTTGGCAGCCCAGTGCTCTCACTGCAGGGGCCCTGGGTTTGATCCCTGGTTGGGGGACTTAGATCCCACAAGCCAGGCAGCCAGAAGAAAAACCAAAAAAACCACAAAACACTGTACTTATGAAAGTTTTACCACCTGGATAGTTACTTCGTAAAGTCTTTTAAATTATGTCATCATACAGTTAAAGCCATAAAATAATAAAGAATTATTATTTTTTCACAAGTCATTTCATCTCTTCCACTAACAGTTTAAATGGAACCTGAATCATTAAATTATACGGCATGTCTTTTTTTTAAATTAGGGATTATTCTCAAAACTAAACAGACCATAAAACTGATTTACTCCTAAACTACACTCTGAATACTTAAGTAGTTCACACAGTACAATATAATTTAAAAGAGGTAAATAATCAGTCAAAAAGCGTTTGATTAAAAGCATTCCCTGGAACACTGTATTATAGTGAAAAGAGATGGCGGTATTAAGTACACTGCTTTAATAAATGCCATATCTGTACAATGAAATAATACAAGAAATATGTGCACCTGTGTTAATAGAAAGATATCTACTACATATATATTATATAGATGCTACACACAAATCTGTAAGAATTTATACCAAATAAAATACACTAAAAATATTAGTTGGTGTTAATGGTTGTTCTCCCTATATAACTGGGCTGATGCTTGTTTTTGTTTAGCACGGCAATATACCTAACCCTGTGTAAGGATTATGAGACTGAAAAGACATCTGCTGCAGAGCTCTTGTAAAGATTTTGCTTTTTTGATAAAAAAGACAGTCAGCAAATAGTGTAGGCTCTACTACTTTCTTCTTACCTTGCACGTGAACATATCTGAAACAACTGATATTAACAAAGTCAAAAGAACTGGCCAGAAAAATGAAGAAATGCCAGCCCCGACATCATCAAACTGCTAACATGCCAACTTTATACTGCAACAGAAAATAAGTCCCTACTTGTTTAAACTATTATCAATAAATGGGTTTTTCTATTACTTTCAGAAAAGTACATTCCTAACTAACCCACAAACAATGCATGAGAATGTTCCATTTTTCCATCTCCCCCCGTTAGCACTAGGTATCCAGAAACTTAATTTTTGCTCATCTGATTAAAAATGAAAAACAGAAAGTAGTACCTTATTTTGATGTGCATTTGACTACAAGGAGGTTGAATTTCTATGTTCTTATTTTTATTAAATGCTACTTCACATCCTCAGTCCATATTATCCATATATTCTTTGTGTGTGTGTGGAGGGCATCTTTTAGATTGTCATGGAGATTTGAACTCCAGATTTTAAAATGCAGTATGATGGAACTGGAGGAATCAACCTGCCTGACTTCAGACTCTACTACAAAGCCACAGTCTTCAAGACAGTATGGTATTGGCACAAAGACAGAAATATAGATCAATGGAACAAAACAGAAAGCCCAGAGATAAATCCATGTACCTATGGACACCTTATCTTCGACAAAGGAGGAAAGAATATACAATGGAAAAAAGACAACCTCTTTAACAAGTAGTGCTGGGAAAACTGGTCAACCACTTGTAAAAGAATTAAACTAGAACACTCTAACACCATACACAAAAATAAACTCAAAATGGATTAAAGATCTAAAATGTAAGACCAGAAACTATAAAACTTCTAGAGGAGAACATAGGCAAAACACTCTCCGACATAAATCACAGCAGGATCCTCTATGACCCACCTCCCAGAATATTGGAAACAAAAGCAAAAATAAACAAATGGGACCTAATTAAACTTAAAAGCTTTTGCACAACAAAGGAAACTATATGCAAGGTGAAAAGACAGCCTTCAGAATGGGAGAAAATAATAGCAAATTAAGAAACACACAAAGGATTAATCTCAAAAATATACAAGCAACTCCTGAAGCTCAATTCCAGAAAAATAAATGACCCAGTCAAAAAATGGGCCAAAGAACTAAACAGACATTTCTCCAAAGAAGACATACAGATGGCTAACAAACACATGAAAAGATGCTCAACATCACTCATTATCAGAGAAATGCAAAACAAAATCTCAATGAGGTACCATTACACGCCAGTCAGGATGGCTGCTATCCAAAAGTCTACAAGCAATAAATGCTGGAGAGGGTGTGGAGAAAAGGGAACCCTCTTACACTGTTGGTGGGAATGCAAACTAGTACAGCCGCTACAGAGAACAGTGTGGAGATTCCTTAAAAAACTGGAAATAGAACTGCCCTATGACCCAGCAATCCCACTCCTGGGCATACACACCGAGGAAACCAGATCTGAAAGAGACACGTGTACCCCAATGTTCATCGCAGCACTGTTTATAATAGCCAGGACATGGAAACAACTGCTCATCAGCAGATGAATGGATAAGAAAGCTGTAGTACATATACACAATGGAATATTACTCGGCCATTAAAAAGAATGCATTTGAATCAGTTCTAATGAGATGGATAAAACTGGAGCCCATTATACAGAGTGAAGAAAGCCAGAAAGATAAACACCAATACAGTATACTAACGCAAATATATGGAATTTAAAAAAATGGTAATGATAACCCTATACGCAAGACAGAAAAACAGAGATATATAGAACAGACTTTTGGACTCTATGGGAAAAGGCGAGGGTAGGATGATTTGAGAGAACAGCATCGAAACATGTATATTATCAGGTGTGAAATAGATCGCCAGTCCAGGTTGGATGCATGAGACAAGTGCTCGGGGTTGGTGCACTGGGACGACCCAGAGGGATGGGATATGGAGTAAGGTGGGAGGGGGGTTCAGGATGGGGAACACATGTAAATCCATGGCTGATTCATGTCAATGTATGACAAAAACAACTACAATATTGTAAAGTAATTAGCCTCCAACTAATAAAAATAAATGGGAAAAAAATAAATAAAATAAAATGCAGTACGATTATATTGCATTTCAAAATGCACTATGAAGCAAAATTTTTCCCCAAAAAAGGATAAATTTAAAATGTTAAATCAAGTGAATCTGAGGCTGAATGCCACTGAAAGAATTAGTTATCACCAGGTAACTCTGGGGAGTATTTTTTTAAAGGAGGTAGAGAAGGGGTGAAGACAAAGGGAAGTGGAGAGAGGTCGGGTGCGGACATAAAGTTTCCACTACTTGATGCATATCCAGCACTATACTACATTCCTTGCAGAAAATACACAGTTTTCATTCTAAGGCTTATGAACTAGTTGGAAAGAGATCAAAAACATGCAAAGCAATTATATAAAATTTCAAATGAAAAGTCAAAATTTAGAGAAATCTATTGAAAACCAAAGGCATCCAGCAAAACTTTATGAAACACAGAATTTAGTCTTCACTTTGAAAAGCTAGAGCTTTTAGAACAACAGAAAAAGAATGATAAATTATTCCAAAATATGAAATAGCCCACTTGACTTGACAGAACAACCTTTCTTATTAACAGCAGACAAGAAGATGGAAGTTAGGAATGGTTCCAAGACAAGGAGATAAGACTGATCAGAATGAAGAGGGCAGCATTGGGAAAGGAAATACAAATAAGCAGGGTAGAACAAGAGGAATTTGAGAAAAAATAATAAACAGTCACATCTAGAAAAAAAAGTTTCCTTCTACTGAATTGCTGACTATTGTCATAAACTTTTCCAGGTTTACCATTTTTGATCCTAGGAAAAGGCACAGAAGCTTTTCAACTTATTTTGGTCTCTTTTGTCCCCTACATTAAAGACAAGACACTACTGAAGATTAATTTTCCAGACATAGTCATTATTTTGTGTTTTTTTATTTCAAAGCATACTGCCAAAACAAACAAAAAAGACTGTTGATACATCCTGAGTCATTTACTACCTGCCCTATTCTAACTGCATACTTAAGTGGGACATAAGTTTTTTCTGGAATCAGCAAGTTTACCACACCCCTTGCATCATCACAGACTATCAATTACTCCACACCCTGCATTTATAGTGTTATAAAAATTAAGAACATCAGCCTTATCCTCAGGGAGATCATTTTTCTGATTACTTCAAAAATCACAGGACCAAAAGAAAAACACACTAAAGTTATTTTTAAGTGTTATTCTAACACATACTTCATAATGTGGCAATTACTAACTAGTACCAGTATATTCTGAACAACAACCATTAACTTTGAACTTGTGACATAAAATGGAAAAGGTGTAAAAAAATAATTATCAAAAGGATGAAGACAACAGTGTGGTACTAGCATAAAGATAAACAGACCAACAGAATAAAAACATAAAGCCCAGAAATAATGTTGGACAAGGGTTACAAGATTACTCAATGGGGAAAAGACAGTCTCTTAAACAAATGGTGCTGGGAAAACTGGATAGTCAC